TCAATATGACCTCATCTTAACTAATTACATCTGCAATGACCCCATTCATTTCCAAGTAAGGTCATATTTGAGTTACTGGGTGGTAAGACTGTAATACATGAATATTTGGGAATATAACTGAACCCACAACACAAGGGGAAAATATGGTCTTATATTTTTATTCAGACCTTTGAAAGAATTCAGCAACTCAGAAGAAACTTCTCTATCAGAGGCCTGAGAAGACTGGGTGAATATAGATGACAATCATTTGATGTTATCAGGAGTAGAAAGAAAGGGGTTTTGTTAGAAAACTTCTGACTGACATCTGACCCTTCAAGTTCTGAACCTTTCTAACAGAACTGAGACAAGAGTCAGATACCCTGGAGGCAGTTAGGGCAGGGGTCAGAAGGAGAAGGCCAATGAGATAAGAAGGTCATAAGAACATGAATAAGCTTGGCTAAGATAAATGTAACCAATGGGGCCCCTTTAGTTATTTTATTTTAACCATAATGTCTTCATCTAAAGGAAAAGGGGGAATTCCTTTAATCAGGGCATGCACACAGTCGAAGCAACAGTGTCCCTAAATGAACTCTCCTTAATATAGTAAAAACGACACCTACCAGTGCCATGACACTTTGCAAATGCCACTGAAACTCCTCAAAGTTCTTACCCTCTAAGGTCAAGAAAGGGGAGGCTTCCTAGTTCTAGGAGCTGTCCCTCTTTCCCAGAAAATCCATGAATATTCTATCTCTGGTTTAGCATAGCATTAAAATGGAATATTAAAGGACAGAGCCTGACCCTGGAGTGACACTGTTCCTTATTGGAGTAGTCTGTTCTCTGCCATCATTGAGAGTATACCATCCTTTCTATCCTCTGTCTTTAATCCATGTCATTGCTTCATGAGTGACCCTGCTTTGGAATTCTTTCTTGCACGGAGGTAAAGAACCCTCTCTGCTGGCATAGGCAGTGGTCTGGGAGAGGGGGTCACAAACATATGTCTTCATTTTGGAGCCTGCCTTGTCTTGGGGAGGGAGTCTCCCCTAATTTGGGTCCAAAATTTTTCTAAGAGCCACAGGGGCAGGTAGTAGCCAGAGCAGAGGCTGACAGGTTGTGTCAAGCAAGTGTGCTAATGAGGCCGTATCCAAGTGGAAACTCTCCATGAGTGTCGGCCTCAAGGAAGAGGAAGAATGGGCTGGAGGGAAGGGGACCAAAAGCCAGGGAGAAGCCATGAAGCCATCAGAGTGAGAGTGACCCAGTTTCATGACTGAGGAGCCTCCCGGGCTCTCCACATACTCTTGAGGCCAGTGCCCTGCAGTAGCCTTGGGTCTGAGTGTCTGTCTGGTCTCAGGCTATCTGAGATCCCTACCCAAGCACACCTCACTGTGCTCATCTCTCCTGGTGTGTTTCTACAAGAAATCCTTCTAGCTACACAGATGCAAAAGGAGCATACGGCTCAGTCCTCAACCCATCCATCCCACCCATCGCTGTGATGAGGAAACATTGCTGTTACTTCCAGAAAATGCATCCCCTCTATAGCCCTTTTCTATTCATTGTTGGCTTTCAAAAATCATATGTTAGAGGCTTTGTATCTTAGAGTTACATGATTTGGATCCCAGAGGTCACTAGAGCAACATCTCTCAAAGTTAATGGGATTTTCCTGAAATGAGGTATCTGACGCATCAGGTGGGTGGGTGAGGCCAAGACTCTGCACTTCTCACACTGCAGGGGGCCTGTGGCCACACTTTGAGACCACTGATGCAGACCATTTTACGGGAGAATGTGAGGAAGGGAACACTAAGTGACTGATCTGAAGTTCCCCAGCTAATAGGGGCAGAATCGGGGGTTGAACTTGGGTCCCTCCACTTTCAGGCTAAGCTCTCCACCTGTTGAAATATCCCTGCACCAGCAGAACAGACCTACCAGCAGAACAGACCCCCTTCCCTGCCATGTGGGCTCTCCTGCGAACATGGAGATATGGAGAGGCAGACAGCAAAGCCGTGATTCTGAGAATGAACCCACTCACTTGGCGCCCTGTGTTCATGCCTCCTACAACAGCTGTGGTCTGAAGTGACTGGAGTGATCCAAAGGCCTGGAAGGACCTGGCTGTGTTCTAAGAAAACTTTATTTGCAAAGTCAGCCTGTGGGTTGGATCCAGCCTGTGGACCAAGGTTGGTCACCTTTTGCTCTGAAGGGGTACACTTTGTTTGACTTACTTTATTGCTCAGACTTTGGGAAAGTTATAGGTTAACTTGTCAATTTTTGTCCAGCGAGATACTTTAGTCTTATAAGACTAGGAATGTGTGTAAGCAAGGAACAATCAAAGGATCCAAAACCAAAATTTAGTCTAATGAGACTGAGCTCACTTCATCAATTCTTTTAGAAATTTTACACTCCCTGGAGGCTTAGATTCAACAGTAATACAAAACCAGGTTATGGGAACAAAAACTAAGGAATGAATAAAGGGGCTGGAGAGAAGGTAGAGGAAGATCTAGCCTGAAAAACCCTCTATGCTCTTAGGTAAAAACTTAGTACTGAGCATCCTGGCAGCCTCGGGAAAGGGAACCTAAGGGGGTGATGTCTTGAGCAGTGGCAGTAGGTGTTCCCTAGATGCAGAGCCTGAGGCAGAGATTCAGGTGTCCCAGACTCAATGAGGGAGCACTTTCAGGAGAAACGTGTGAGTGAGGGAGTGGCCCAGGATAGGCGGGGAAGGAACCCCAAGACTATATGGTCTTGGGCAAAGTCTAGCCTTGGCTGTTCATAGGGGACTCTGGACCACTGTCGACTGGTCCCTGCTGGAGGCAAGCAGGCCTTTGAATCAGTCGGTCATTGGCTGTGCACTGGGTGTGTGTGGGGCATACCTTTCTGGGCAAGTTTACCATCCGCCAGTGCAAATGTTCCACATTTGGAGCTGTGAGCTATTAGTTGCCAGCATTCACGGTAGTTGGAGTGGAGGGGGAAGGGGAAGGGGGTGCATCAGCCTGGTAAAGGGGATCTTGGTGGGCACTATTGGCATCGACTACCATAAATTTAATTATAAATTTCTATGTGACTTTTGAACTTTCAAACGTAAAATTTTATGTATACATTAATTCCACATCTATTTATTGAACAGCT